TTTATTTAATTAATTAATCAATCAATTGGAAATGTGTTTTATAGTTATAATGTGAAAGTCATTTTTAATATAACTATTGATCGTGTTGATAATCATTTTATTCAAATATGATATTTAATTTGTGTTATCATAAAAGGGGTCGGAAAAAAATTTTTTTTAATAATTTTTGGTGAATAATGGTAAAATGTTTTATAAATGTTATTTGATTGTATTTTTTTATTTAAACAAAAAGAAAAAAAACATCATTTACATTTTGCCTGAGCATTTTTTCGAAGTGTTTAGAAGAAGGCAGTTAAAGTCTATTTATATTACAATGAAAAGCTGAGTTATTACAGAATTTATTTGAAAGAAAAACGGAAACAGCTAACAATCATAAGACATATAACCAAATATACATAAATTTTTAATTAAATTTTATTATAATATATTAGTGTAGTAAACACGGTGTTTGTTAGTCTTATATCGTTTGAATTAACAAACCAAATTATCATCTTTGCAGTCTGCATCATTGTCTTTCTTAATTATCTTCAGAGTAATTTAAATCAAGTCTTTTTGTCATTGTTGTTTTTTGTGCTTTATTTTGTCTTCATAAACACATGAGTTCAAGTCTTAGTTGTCACTGTCATGGTTTTGATGATGTTAAACATAATAAACAAACTGTTTGACCTTGCAATGAACGAGATAATTTGATATTGTCGCTTTTGAAGATCTCCTTATAATTGGTAAAAATAAAACTTACATTTTTTTCTAGATCATGTTTACGATAAAACAATACCAAGTATGTAAATTTTGATTATTAGTAAAGTTAGTGCATTATGAAATTATTTTGCTTGGATATTGTCAAATGAAAAATAATTTTGTTTTTAAATGTTTAATATGTTGTCAGTCCATGATTTATATTATAATTAATGATATTGCGAAAGGAAAAATGGAATTGTATTAAATAATAAATTAACTATTTATTATTATAATTTAACGATATCTGGACCTAAAATTTACTAATAAAAATAATAAATTTACTATTAAATTATAATAAAACCATAAATGTCATTTTACTTATGCTCAAATCCGAATTGAATGATCACGAATTGATTCATTTGACACAACGTATCGAAGCTGTAGTTGTCGTTGTGTATCTCTTTTAAATTATACAAGTGTTGAGTAGTTTTCATTACTTTTCACACCCACCATTTGATTCAATTTTTGAAACAAGTTATAGTATAAATTATAATAAATTTATTAATGTTTATAGTTATTTTATTCTTCTTTATAAAAGTGTGTGCTTAAATCCCCAAAATGTTGCATATATTAACTGTAATAAAATGAACAATATAGTCCATCAAATAGTAAGAAAGTTGTTGATAATCATTTTTTATAATTAGTGGATTAAGGTATAAGAACACCTCTAAAATAAACAACACATCAACTTTCACTTTGGCACCATGTCTTCTTAATAACGTATTAAGCTGATAACAGTCATTGTCTCCATGATGTTTTCAACAATTATATTGAAATGCACTTTTGGGCAAGCATTTTAACTGGCGGAAAACCCGCTTCACTACCATTTACTTGTTTTATTGTATAGAAAAATAACGTTTTTGGCATTTTGCCGATTTTTATAATAAAAAAATAATACGGTGGCGAAAAACCGCTTTAGATCTTTTTTGTCTTTTCGTAACCAAATTCTTATTGTTTTATTATAAAATCTTATCCAATAACCAAATAATACCTTTTAAAATTGTGAAAAAATAGTGTGTTTTTTCTCGGCATACAAATATTTTTAACCAAATGTATTGAATAACATACAAAAACACACAATAAACTTAAATTTATTCACCATACAGAAATGATTGCCGCACTTTCGGATCGTCCACAGTATCCTCCCAGTCTTTTTTTAAACATTTCTCTGCACGGCGGGAAAAACCGCTTTACTACCATTTACTGATAAAATTACATATAATTATAACCAAAGTTTCAATTTGCCTCAAATAATCGAGGTTTTTGTGAAAAAAAAGCAACAAACACGAGAAATTCTAACGGACATGTGCAGCGCCCTTTTACCGCTTCTGATAATTTACACAAAATTATCCGTTTTACATTGTTTTTATTGACCAATATTAATAAATTGCTTCGTTTATTTTATAAAAAGTTTCAAAAAGCAAGTACAACGAAATTAGTCATTTATCGCTTGTTTGACAGGCACTTGAAAAACCGTTGGGGATGGATGCACTCACGTTCAGTTTGTGAGTAAGTCCAAAGTGCGTTTTTTCAATTTGGCAGTGAAATGCATTTCTGAGCGAATGAGGAATCCAACAAGAGGGGGTGTGTAATAAAGGTGCAGTCTGTTTTTGCTGAGAGACATTGAAAAGTGGTGTATCAAAAACGTGTGCTGGCCCATATCTTTACAATGTTGCTCGAGAGATAATTGATTTGACTGTTGAGTATTTGTTTAATGGATGATTAAAAAATGAGAAAAAAAAATAAAGAAGTGAAAGGGGTGTGAAAAAAAGGTACACTCGCGGGTTAGTGTTTTTGAATTTTTTATTTATGCAAAAATTGAAAAAATATTTAATAAAAAGTTTTTTTATTTGATAAATTCTGAGTTGTTTTTTGGTTATTTTGGCTTCAAAGAACAGTTTCGAAGTCAATATTTCTTGCTCCTTCTTTTATCATTCGGCAAATCCAGCCTTTACTTTACATAAAAAACAATTCACAAATTTCAATAACAAACATCGGCATCTAGAAAACGTAATAGATATTCTTGTAAACCTTATTATATTGAATCAAATCGAGGAAAAGTAAAAAAAATAAACTATACAAAAAACTATAATCATATTATCATTTAACCATTAAATTATTAAAAGCGGTTTTTTTCACCCCTTTATAAGTTTTGAAATAGATTGTTTTTATCGTTGATGGCATTGATCAGATGGTAATTTATGTGTGATGATATACTTAAAAAGTATCATTCAATAATTGATATCGTTTAAAGATATGTAACGATAATTTAATAACTTATATTAATGATATATAAAATTTTGACAAAATTACAGCTATTTTATGTCCACCAAATGACGTTAAAAGACTGACTATATTAGAAATTGAGAATAGATATAATTGTGGTTTAAATGCTTATTTTGTAATATGTAATAATTGTGATTATTTTAATAAAAACTTGTGTTCAACTTATTAGTGAACACTAAGTTGTTAACCAATTTTTATATTATTATTATAATAAATCTGTTCTTTGTAATTATTATATTTTATTTTTATATTTTTGGTTTTACGATTTTGACAAATCAAATGCATTTATCACCAAAAAATTACTTGTTTATATAGATTGCCAAATTCTTGATTTCAATACTATTAAGTTGGATTTTTTTTATTCACAAAACCAAAAAAGTAAAAAAGAAAATAAGATTGTATTACGCTATTAAGTACTAATTATACGGGTTTTATATTTATAAAATCGGATTGGAACAAGTTTTGATTGGATATAAAACCAAATCCGATAGAATACCAATCCGATAGAAGTCCAATCCGATAAAGTATCGACTGTATTAATTGTTTTAAAGCTTCTTGTATTTTTTGTTGTCACATCACTTCAAAAATTTGTGGAATAAAAACTTAAATTATAATAAATAATAATAAATACAACAATTTTAAATAAAAAAATTATAAAAAAACATATTGTTTTAATGGTTTCAAAGACAGATTTAATAATTTTGATAATATTTACTATCTATAGACTAGATTGAATCTGATTGGTCTGTTTTTTTTTCACTCGCACTTTATCCTTAAAATGTTATGAAGTGGCGGCTCTAGAGCGTTCTTTTTGTTATTCAACAAACAAAAATTACATAAAACTTAAAACCAAAATCGGGGAAAATGTCCTAATCGGAACTGCGCTAATTATATTTTTTTCCAATTTTGTTCTATTTCGGGCTGTCAAAATTGACTCCCAAATATATATTAATAATAAAAATAAAATACTGTTTTCTGCTAATTGTGACTAATATTTAGTTTCGTTTTTTTTGATAAAAAACATTATTTTAATGAAAATTTTACAAATAACAATTACAAAGATTAGAAAATACTATTTAAAAATAATACTGTACTTTCATAATCAACATATTATTTTATGTCAAATTAAAAATAACAAGTATTATCCATTTTTAGTTTAAAACTTAGAATAATTAACACAATTTGATTGAGAAAACGTTTATCATGGAAAATTTTACAATGTATATTTACAAAATTGTTGTAATATATTAGAAAATATATTTTTAACTAAAAAGTAACATACAAATAATTAAATAAAATTATTCTAACATTCACAACTTTATAATTAATATTTTATTTAAAAATATATTAATTATAAAATCCCCAAATAAAAAATTAACACAAACATAAAATATCAAAAGTCATTTTTTTATTTTATTGATTTTAAATGATTTTACTCAAAGTGTATAAACTTTTGTTAATATCTTTCAATTCAGAACATTTGTTCCAAAAATGACAAAATAACTTTCCATTAACTATTTTTTTTAAATTAGACAGCATATGTTAAAAAAATTGTAAATTATTAAACTAAAAGTTGAAAAATCAATTTATTTTTTTAAAACTTTACAATGATCTGGAAACGCATTTTCATCTATTATTTCCACACTATTTGGAATCTCAACTCTTTTCAAATTATTGCAACCATTGAAACAATACCCACAAATATGTACAAGTCCTTCATTTAAATTAACCACTTTAAGTTCATAACACTTTGAAAAACAACCAAAAGGTAATACATTGACATCACACCCAATTTCAATTTCTTTGAGTGACAAACACATCTCGAATGCATTATTCCATAGTTTATTAACTGATTTTTGAATATTGATAATTTGAAGTGATGTGCACATACTAAAGCATTGAGTTTTAATTTCGTTTAAAGTAGATGGAAGAATTATTTTAGTTAATGTAGCACAATTTTTAAAACATCCGTTACCAAGAGATGTCACATTGTCAGGAATTTCAACTTCTTTGAGAGAAGTACATCCTTCAAATAAATGATCTTCAAATTGAGTTACCAAAATTTGTTCTGTTGAATTTTTTATATATTTTCTGTGAGTAAAAGAAAATTTTGTGAGAAATTCACAATTTTCAAAACACGCAAATCCAATTGTTTTCACTCTTGTTGGAATTTCAATCGATTTCAAATTTTTACATGATGAAAATGCACGAGCACCCAAAGAAGAAATTGTCAATGGAAGGTGGAGTGTAGATATATAACTTATATTTTCAAAACATTTTGGAGCCAGTGAAGTTATAAAAGAATTGCAAGTGTCACAGAAAATTTGTGAAAGTTGTTCTTTGAATTTCAAAGTGTCATTTTTTGTAAAAGTAATGTTTTTAAACACAAAGTTGCTATTTTTGTTGTTTGCAAATGTAATAAAGTCCACTTCATACCAAATAACCACTTTGAAAAAAACTGTATTTGAAATTACTTCACTGTTGTTCACAACACATTTTTTATCGAAAAACTCTTTACCAAAAATTTCACTATTTTTCGTATAAACATGAAAAGTTTCTATATTGGGAAAGTAATTTAAAGTGTTTTTAGTTAACGGTATTGGATTGTAATGAAAATTGTCCATAATTTTGTTAAACTTTTTACAGACTAAAGAGAGTGTAACAAAGTTGACAAATTTTGGAAAATATTGTGAAACGACCATCATGTGGTAACCGTCTAGTTTGCTCATGTTTTATTTTTTTTATTTTTGTGTTTCTTATATTTTGTTTTAATATTTGAGTTAATTCAACTCAACATAAAAATTATTCAAGTTTATTAAATGCGTGATGATTAAGCATTTGATTCGTCTTTTGGAGTCGTTTGAGAATGATAAATAATAAAACAAAGGTGACTCAAATATTTGAAATAAAAAGTAGATTTATCGAAAAACGTCTGGCTCGTTTGCGAATTATAGTAAAATATAATATTTATTGCTATAATTTGAAAACCATTTTGTATTATTTCAAAAACATTAATTTAAATAATGTAAAACAAACAATGATAAATAAAAGCAAATTTTTAATTAAAAATATTTAATTCACATTTATAAATTAAATTTCAAATTTAAAACTAAATTTTGTTGGTGAGCTTGTGTCAATACTTTACACAGTCAATTACAACCACTTATTTTATAGTTTTGGAATTAAAAACACAACTTCATTGTTTTAGTCCTAACTTCAATAATTAAATTAATATATAATAGTTTTAATGTTATTTAAATACAGTAAAAAGTGTTTATTTGTGGGTTTTTAAACAGAGAAAAAACGTTTATTTGTGGGTTTATCATGATTAGGTAGTATATTCTATTCACTTTTTAATTCAAAAAATTAATGAAAGATTTTATTTTTAAGAAATAATTCTATTTATATTACAGTTAGTTTCATTTTGTTTTAACTTTGTTTCAAAACAAATAGAAAACGTTTCAAAATAAACCAAAAATGCAGATTTTTTCAACTTTGTTTTAAAACAAAATAATTTTGTTTCAAAATAAATATAATTGTACCAAATGAAATCAAAAGTGTTTCAAAATAATATAATGTTTCAAATTAATACAAAAATGTATCAAAATAAAATAAATTTGTTTCATAAAGCTATAATTTTGTTTCAAAATAATATTAAAAACAATTTAATTAACATTTTCCATTAGAGGTCTTCTTTATTAATCACTTTTGTCGATACTTGACCAAGAAAATGACTAACACATTTTCTTAACTCAATTTTTCGATATCTTCAAAGCATCTGGCCATATTCGTTAACATTTGAAGTAAGTTTTCATTTGGTAATTTACCAACTCGACTTTTCCAAATACCGAAAATCATTTCTATTCGATTGCATTTTGGTAATAGGGTGCATTAAACAACACCTTACACCCTCTAGCGTTTGCTGCAGATATAATATCTCTCTATGTACAGAAGCATTGTCCATTACAAAGACTATGTTTCCAAGTAAAGCAACATAATTTTCAACAAGAAGTTTAAAGGATGCACTAAACATTTCACCATTGACTGTTTCGTTAAATACTCGACAAAATTTGTCACCTAATTCGGATATCGAGCTGACCCAACTCAAGTTAATTATTTTCAATTTTGTCGTTCTGAAGTGGTTTTTTACACGTGAACCCCATTTTCTTGTTCGGACATTACCAACCTTCCAATGAGACTCATCGACAAAGACAATATCATAACCACTTCTTTGAAGTTGTAACAACTCTGATAATTTTTGTTACTCGAACCTCTTTGTTGTCAATTATAAACTGTTTTTCAAAAGTCGGTACTGTCATATTTTTAGAACTTCCTAAAATCCCGTTTTTTATTTTTGTTTTTTCCTAAAAAAACAAAAAACAAAAAATCGAAAGTACCGACTTTATTTTGAAAAAAATACCAATCCCGTTCAATTATTTTCGTACATATTCGGGAAAATATCGGAATATTAGCCATCTTTTTCCAAAAAACCCGATCCCGTTATTTGATTTGACCATAACTCGATACTTCGCAACATATACACAGCATTGTTGACCTAAAAGCACAACAATTTACGTTTAAGTGAATTGGGATGGTGTTGTTTGTGTCGAGTTTAACTGATATTACTTTCGTTAAAAATATTTCATTAAAACAACATGTGGTTATCTTCTCTGAATAAAAAATAATGAAATAAAGAGTTCCAAAAACACCAAAAATTACAGCAAATGTTTGATAATTTTGACAGGCATAAGTCAAAATTGTCAAAGGGCAACACTAGAAAAATAATACAAAATAACAATATTGTTTTGTTATTGGATATTTTAAAAAAGATGTTCTCACTGAAATGCTCAAAAAGAATGTCGACTTTATAAAACCCAACAAAGATAAATTATCAAATCATTTTGTTATTTTTATTGTTTTTGTGACAACACTACTAAGCATACTAATCTTCGAACTAAGCTTTTGTTTTGTGAATATTTCATTAATTATTAAAATGTTTGATAATGAAAAAATTTGACATTAAGTTTATTTGCTTTTGTACTAAAATGCACTTTTGGGATAATTCGTGTGTTTTTATGAAACAAAAATCCCGTTATTTCGAATTTTATATGGAATTTTTTAATGCTTAAAAATTCTTCAAGTAAAAAAATATTTTTTGAAGACCGTTTTTCTCTTTTTAACTTGGAAAAAATAAGCGATATTTATTACAAAAAAACGATTCCCAAAAATAATAAACAAAATAAATGCAAAAAATCGGGACACCTCAGTACCGACTTTTGAAAAACAGTTTATATTTATTTCGAATATACGTTTATAACAATTATTAATATTTTTTTGTACTTTTAATTTGTCAGAATTTATATCATATAATATAAGTTTAATGACATTATTCGATTTGTGTATGTTGCAATTATAATAGTTGTTCAATTAAATTCAATAAACAAAAAGTTGACAATAATTATTTTAAAAGATTGTTGTTTAATTAAAATAAATTACACAATTTAATTAAATTAATCATACTTTAAGACTTTTATTATTTCATTAAAGTTAAATAATACATAAACCCATAATTTTTAAGAATCAAAGACAATTCAATTCAAAAGAAAAGAATTAATTTAAAGAGTAATTGAATTGTGCTTATGGTGGGTTTGGTTAAAATGTTTTCAAAATAATATATAATTAAAAATTTATAATTAAATAACATTTATTGATGTTGTTGTTAAAATATTTGATTAATAAAACAATAGTATAAAATAATGAAATATGTTATGAATTACTCAATAATAGATTCCTCAATCCATAAAAGTTATAGTACATAATTCTATTTTTTTAATATTTTTAATTGTTTTTGTTTCAACTTTATTCACAATTCAAATATCTTTCTTATTTTTCCCAATATTTTACGTTGAACCATCTTATTATAATGAATGTTTAGTACAAATGGATTTTTTCTTATTTAAAAATAGCATTAGGAGTAATTATCCCGTTTTTTATATTAAACATGAGCCGTGTTAAAACCAAAAATGGTTTTCTGTTCTAAATGTATTTTGGTTTGGACATGACGTGTCAGCCACAATTAGCTTTGTTTTTTTGGCGGGAGATAGAAAATTGGTCGACCGTGTTCTTATTTTTGAAAAACAATCAACAAAAGGCTGTTTCGGCCAAATGTATTTTATATTTATTTATTTGAATTTTTTTAAAAAAATAAAACTATAATAAAATAAAAATTTTGTGTCAATTTCATTTTGAAAGCCAGCAATGTTTTTAAAAAACATTAGAGTTTGTTGTAAAAATTTGTACCAGTCGCCAAAGTTGCCCTTTTTATCAATTTTTACACAAATAATTGTTTAAAACCCCGGGAATTAGGTAAAAATTGAAAAAATTGGGAAAAATTTAGGAAAAAAACTGAAACGACGAATATTTTATATTTCGAACATGATCCCGATATTTTCCAATTTTTATTGACCAAAAAGCCCAGGACAATTTTTCCGACTAACTCTATTTGGATTTGTATGGATTATTTTTAAAACATGACACTATTTGTTGAAAAAAAAACATATAATCTAAACATAAAATGCAACATAGTATATTAATGAAGTTTGTTTTATTCATGTATTATTTCAATTCATTTACAAAAACTGCAAAAGCCATATGTCCAACAATAGAAGTAAAAAACACCATGACTCTAACAGAAACATGTAACCTCAATGATACATTAAAAATAACAAGTGATTCACAAACACAAACTATATTCACCATGGTTGGTGCTTCGGTACTCAATGTTGTTGGTGAATTGATATGTGAACATGATTCAATTTTTGAAATCAAATATGATTCAAATTTTACTTCAACAATGGATATTATTTTAAAAGACCAATCACAATTTAATTTGTTTGATGATGTGGTTTTTAAAACTAACAATGTCATACAATACAATGAATCAATCTTTACTATTTTAGCTCATCATCATATTCGCCGATTCGATATGAATACCATTTATCTATACAACAATTCGACATTTAAAATAAAAATATCTTCACCATTTTTTGATACTCGTTTAAAACTTAGAATATATGACAATGCTATTTTCGAAATGGAAGAAGGCAATGAACTGTTAACTTTGGAAGATATTGAATTAAATAATAACGGAAGTCTAATACCTGATTCAATTAATTACATGGTTTTTTTAAATTCATTCCAAAATTCTTCTTTGTTTATTAAACCCAATGCTACAATTAATAGTATACACGAATTACATTTTAATCAAAATGGCTTTTTTCAAATGGGTGTTTTGTCAAACATAAAATATTTATATGAACTGGAATTAAGAGACAACTCTGTATTTAATATTTTAAACAACTCGACAATTGAAAAAGCGTATCGTTTTTATTTTAATGAAAACGCATTTTTTACTATGTACGGTTATTCATCTGTATTAAATTCTGAGAATTTGATATTTACTGGATATTCCAAAATTATATTTTTAGAAAATTCTCTTGTTAATACCACACGAAACTTTGAATTAAATGGAAATAGCAATTGTCAAATGTTTTTCGAATCAAAATTTAATTACGTGTTTACTATGTACATTAGAGATTTTTCAACTTTTATTATGAATTCAAGCGAAATAACTCAAGTCCAAAACTACATTATAATAAGTGGCAGTGCGTTGTTTGAGATGAACAATGATTCAATAATAAGAAATGTCAGACAAATTAAAATCAACAGAAAAAACAGCAAATTTGAAATGAAAAACAGTTCCTTTTTAAATTCCTCTTCAATTGAAATCACAAACGGAACTTTTGTGTTAAATATAAATGGCGATAGAAACGGTGTTAACAGTACAAACTTGTTATGTAAAAACAATGGTACATTTGAAGTATCATATACTTCATTTATTACAATTCAAGATACTTTGATGTTGGATTCGTGTAATATAATAACAGCTGATAGAACTATCAGAGATTTGCCAATATTTTTTACAAACCAAATAAATTCAATCGATTTTACTTTTCAAAGTTTGTCAGAAGTCGATTTAGCATTTTCTGTAAATCCAATTCAAACGACACTCCCACAAAACACAAAACTGCTCATGGGTAATCGTTTGTTAAGACTTGGAACTTCAAACAAAGTGTTTTGCCATTTGATAAACATGAAAAGTGATTATAGTGAGCCATACTGTCCTTGTGATTCTGTTAATTGTTATATCACACCACTTGAAAACATCACTTCTATATTATTAAACATCGATACATCAATAAATACACATCAAAAATACGACGAAGTCGAAGAAGAACTTGACATTGAAAGTGTTGCCATTGAAAACAAAAAAATCTCTTTTTATAAAACTGACAACTTTATACTTGGTGTTATTTCACATACTGAAAATTTGGTTACAGACATAAAGTCGTTAACAAAAACTGTTCTTATGGTTTCAAATCAAAGTTTTGTATTTCAAAATGTTGTTTCGAAATCAATTTACTCAAGCGAAAATGGTACCAAATTTATTATAAATCCAATGTGTAAAAATGGAGGTCATTTCAACACAACAACACAACAATGTGATAATTGTTTGGATTCAAATTGTATTGACTGTTCTTACAATTCAAAGGAATGTTTAAGATGTCAACAGGAATATTATATTACCAATGACAGTAAATGCGTTGAAATACCAAATTGTTTGTTAAAACGATCAAATCGTTGTCTAAAATGTTCAGATGGGTATTTACTTACTGAAAATCACTGTCAAAATGTATCATCTTGTCTGATTCAAACTTCAAATGGTACATGTCAAATTTGTAGTTTAAAAACGTTTAACTTTAACAACAGTAGTTGTGAAATTGCCGATGAACACTTGTTATACACAAATCAAAATAATATAATTGCCTGTAAAAGTGGGTATATAACAAATTCCAACAATTGTCAAAAGTGCTCTGATCTCTACAAATCAAGTGAAGTGTGTGAAAATGGTCGTCCCACGAAATGTGAAATTGAATTTGAAATGAATAAATCTGGACAATGTGAACACAATAACTGTTCTGATCCAAATGATGAAAACGGAAGATGTTCTAAATTTTATGACAAGTGCACTTTCATCACAAATTCAAAGTGTTTGGAGTGTTATAATAATTTGATTTTAAACAATGCAGAATGTCGTACAAATTACGATTTACAATGCACAAATCAGAGTTTGGTTTCTTGTTTGCGTTGTAAAGACGCTTATTATTTCAATTCATCAACTAACAGATGTGAAAGATGCGATTCAAATTGTTTGACGTGTGTCATGAATATGACTTATTGTCTTTCATGTCCACCAGGATTTTACATTTCAAATAACATTTGCAAAACAAATTCTGAATTGGTGGGAATTTGCACACAATTTATATCATCTGGTGGATGTGCCAAATGCGCTGAAGGTTATTACAGAAACGGGTTGGACTGTTATAAATGTGATCTTTCATGTTCATTGTGTAATACAAATTTTACATGTTTGACTTGTAATTCAACGAATTACAAAACATGGAGTGGAGACTGTAAATCACAAAGTAGTTTAATAGGATGTGATGTGAATGTCACACAATATGGATGCACGCGATGTAAAGAAGGGTATTTTCAAGTCAATACAAATGAATGTGAAAAGTGTGATACAACGTGTCTAACATGTTCATTTAAAAGAAGTTGTGAATCATGTTTATCATCGAAGGTCTTACTCTCGAGTGGAATATGTGTGACACTTTCTCAGATAACAAAGTGTAAAGAAATAATCAATTCAAAATGCAACAAATGTTCATTCTGGAATGCACCAAGTTTAGATGGAACTTATTGTGAAAAGCGTGCTGTGTGGTGGGTCATACTTGTTGTAGTTCTTTTTATTATATTTGTATTATCGATTCTTGTTATAGTGTTAATATTTTCCACGAAGAGAATTTTAAAAATGATTCACACAAAGGAGCAAGAAAAAACCACAACCATATTCGGAATGGAAAAATCAAATGTCAAATTCAATTCACTTGCAAACAACATTTGCGTCTCTTCAAAAGAACTCAATTTTAATTCTGAAATTGAAGAAATTCCTGTCAACACAGAAACAAAAATTGTGTTTTGTGTTGGCAATATGTCCAAAAACGTCTTGAAAATTCAATTCACCACAACAACACAAATTGACAAATTTACAATAAGAGTAACACCAGAAGTCGTCATGTTAAAAAAGAAGTTTGCATGTGAATTTTCGATATATTTGAAACCCGAATGCACGTGTCGAATAAATAACACCATTTGCATAGTCTCAAAAAATCTCAAAACAAACGTTGAAAATATAAATGAAATCATAATGAAAGGAATAACAAGTCAATCTACAAGAATAGATTATGAAGAATTAATTGAAGAATCAAAATTGGGTGAAGGATCTTTTGGTGTTGTTTACAAAGGAAAATACCGAGGAAATG